ATCCTGTACAGATAGGAAAGAAGGTAACATGCTGTTTAGAGGCACTCCTGCTTCTGTGACTGGGTCCATAGTTGAATACAGCCAAAATATTATTTTTTTAAATTAAAAAAAATTTTAAAGACACACATCTTAAACCTCAATTCCAAAAAGTGGGGATCTGTATTACAAAAGAATATCTCAATCAAAGTTACCTGCCATGCCCTGTCTCTTCCCAAGCAGACGAGTCCCTGGGGGAAGATGGGGAGAAGGAGCTTGCTCTGGAGAGCTCTTCTGAGGCCAGGCTTCCAGAAGCTTCCCCCTCCCTCTGTGCAAGTGAACAACAAACCACTGGACCAGACTCTAGCAGCTGAAATAAAACAGCTGTGTTTCTCACTCAACACCCTCTTTTACCAGATGAAGGGTACTGATTCTTGGAAAGGAGACAAATATTTCAGGCCATTTTCTCAGACCCTGACAAGGAGTAAATTAGGAAATCATGTAAGTACAATGTGCGCGTCATCGCTTCCTATTGATCACATGTAATTTACATCTTACAAAGATGTGAATTCTTGCATTCTCACTCCACAAGGAAAATCTCGATGATTTATTCATTTCAAATGAAAAATAGAAGGTAGATGAGAAGAATGACTTCACAGACTGCATCGTTCTCGGGGCACTGGTGCAAGGCTTTCTCATACACTGCCCGAAGGGCTCCGTGTGCAAGTCCCTCTAATTAACAAGGTGAATCACGCTGCAGTTCTCTAATTAGTGAGCCTGACAAGCCAGCGGAAACAGCCAGGCAGACTGGTACACATCGCTGGCCGACAAAGGCACAGCACATTCCAAGTGAAAAATGCAGATTTCTCCGAAATAACTATAAAAAGTAAGATGGTTGGGGGAAAAGAAAGACCCATCTAATTTTAATTCTCATGTTTCATGTGCAGGTCTCATTTACTGTCATGGGTAACTTGCTCCTTGATAAGATGAGATTTGCCTACGCTCTTTGTACAGCCTTTCCAGGAAAACCATCCCTTAAAATGTAGGCATTTTTAATGTTATTTTATTGTGGTAAGAACACTTAACATGAGATCTACACTCTTAACACGTTTTTGAAGTGGACAATACAGGGGTTTTTTTTTACTACAAGCAAAATGTTGCAAAGCAGAGCTCTAGAACTGATTGATCTTGCTTAACTAAAACTTTGTGCTGCTCATGCCTGTAATCTCACCATTTTGGGAGGCTGAGGCAGGAGGATCGCTTGAGGCCAGGAATTCGAGGCCAGCCTTGGTAAGACAGCAAGACCCTGTCTCTACAAAAAAATAAAATAATTCGCTGGGTGTGACTGTATGTAGCTGTAGTCCCAGTTACTTGGAAGGCTGAGGCAGAAGGATTGCTTGAGCCTAGGAACCGGAGGCTGCAGTAAGCTATGATTGTGCCACTGCACTCCAGCCTGGGAGACAGAGTGAGACTCTGTCTCAGTTTTGTGCCTGTTGATTAGTAACTGTCTGTTTCTCCCTCCCCTCAGGCCTGGAAACCATCCCTCCACATTTTGATTCTATGAATTTGGCAATTTTAGATACCTCATACAAGTGGAATTATGAAGTATTTGTCTTTCTGAAAACACAGGCATTTTTGCTTGAAATAAGAATCAGTGTCTCAATTGGAAATTCAGGATACTCTGTATTTTTGTTCAATATGCAGCACCTTCTAGAATTATTCCTAATTCTGCCAAAACCAGAGATGTCTGATGTCAAACCCCTTCGTGATTTTACTCGGTGCCATTCAGTCCCACAGTGCACCCTACAAGGAGCCCTCAAAAAGCAGGAACAGGTAAAAACTTCTACTCTCCAAAGAGGGGTGGTACCCGTGGTTCCTGAGTCACCAGCCTGGCTCATGGGTCCCACTGGAGACAGCCCTGGTGCACTGGCTATTTGCCCTGGTTTTACCTGTCTTTGCTCATCTGCTAACCAGAGGCTCTCTTTCTGTATTAGTCAGGATAATTAGTTCTGTATTATCAGACAGATAATTTATATATATATATACACACACACACACACACATACATATATATATACAAACATATATATAAAGGGGAGTTTCTTAGGTAGTATTAACTCACATGATCACAAGGTCCCACAATGGGCCGTCTGCAAGCTGAGGAGCAAAGAAGCCAGTCCAAGTCCCCAAACTGAAAAACTTGAAATCTGATGTTCAAGGGCAGGAAGCATCCATCGCAGGAGAAAAATGTAGTCTGGGAGGCTAAGCCAGTCTGTTCTTTTCATGTTCTTCTGCCTGCTTTTATCCTAGCCCTGCTGGCAGCTGATTATATGATGTTCACCCAGTTGAGGGTGGGTCTGCCTTTCCCAGCCCACTGACTCAAATGTTAATCTCCTTTGTCGACATCCTCACAGACACACCCAGGATCAATACTTTGCATCCTTTAATCCAATGAACTTGACACTCAGTATTAACCATCACACCTTCCATGATCATTAGCTAGGCTTTCTGAGTGGGTCCGGAAGCTTGGGAGGTGTTCTGGGGGTAGCTGCCAGATGAGCTCTTATATAGTTTGGCTCTGTGTCCCCACCCAAATCTCATCTTAAATCATAACGCCCACATGTCAAGGGAGGTATCTGATGGGAGGTGACTGGATCATGGGGACGGTGTCCCCCCCACGCTATTCTCATAATAGTGAGTGAGTTCTCAAGAGAGAGCTGATGGTTTCTAAGCGGCAGTTTCCCCTGCACTGTCTCTCTTCTGACGCCATGTGAAGAAGGTCCTTGCTTCCCCTTCACCTTTCACCATATTCCTGAGGCCTCCCCAGCTATTCAGAACTGTGAGCCAACCAAATTTCTTTCCTATATGAACTACCCAGTCTCGGGTAGTATCTTTTTTTTTTCTTCTTTTTTTCTTTTTGAGGAGTCTCACTCTGTTACCCAGGCTGGAGTGCAGTGGTGCCATCTCCACTCACTGCAACCTCCAATTCCCAGGTTCAAGAGATCCTCCCAAGTAGCTGAGATTACAAACATTAGTCACCACACCTGGCTAATTTTTGTATTTTTTAGTTGAGGAAGGGATTCACCTTGTTAGCCAAGCTGTTCTTGAACTCCTGACCACAAATGATCCACCTGCCTTGGCCTCCCAAAGTGCTGGGATTGCAGACATGAGCCACTGCACCCCGCCATGGGTAGTATCTTTATAGCAGTGTGAAAACGGACTAATACAAGCTCTCTGCCTGCATCAGCCACGTTTTGCATGTGCAGCCTGCAGTCACCCACGACACAGGGATGTGCTAAGAGCTCACTGCAGCACACGATGATGGGGACACCATCGTTCACGTTCACCTCCTGGCCTATTACTCCAGAGGACATGGCCACAGCTGCTCTCTTGCAGGATGGTGGGCTCAACCTCACTCAGAACTGGGAATGACCTCTCTGTCCTTTAAATTCCAGCAGCTTCCAATGGAGCTTGGAAGGTATTTTCTCTCAGCGTTGGAGACCAGTTGTTCAATGGATGGAAAAAAAAAAAAAAAAAAAAAAAACCTTGTAGGCCAGGCACAGTGGCTCACTCCTGTAATCCTTGGGAGGCTGAGGCAGGCGGATCACAAAGTCAGGAGTTCAAGACCAGCCTGACCAACATGGTGAAACCCTGTCTCTACTAAAAATACAAAAATTAGCTGGGCGTAGTGGCACATGCCTGTAATCCCAGCTACTCAGGAGGCTGAGGCAGGAGAATCACTTGAACCCAGGAGGTAGAGGTTGCAGTGAGGTGAGATCATGCCACTGCACTCCAGCTGGGCATCAGAGGGAGACTTCATCTCAAAAAAACAAAACAAACAACAACAACAACAAAAAAACAGTCTTGTGAAGGGAGGACTTAGACTCAGATTCGAAGCACTTCTACTGAACCCAGCTCCATGCCAGACACGTGCTGGGAACTTCCTCTGGAGCACGCGTGGATGTCGCTACTGCTTTATAGGCAGAGATCCTAGGTATTGGGAGTGTTGAAAATTGTGCCCAGAACAGCTAGGAAATAAAGAGAAGCCGAACATAAACTCTGGGTTTAGAACCCAGTCTGCACCCACATCTCTCTCTTTGTTCTAAGACTCATGTTCCCTAGCTCTAGACTTACAAACTGAAGGTTGTCGCTTCATAAAACTCACTGCTCTTCTCAGCCAAGACCAGTCACAACAGCACACTCTAATGCCAGTGAGCAACTCAGCAGTTCTTTGCAATGAATGGTCTTCCTGCCTCTCTCTGGGCAGAAATAAGAATGACAGGTTTAGAACTGTGGGGACACTTTTAAGGACAGCCTTGTCCGTGCACCATGACTCTCCCTGAAAGACTGAAACTGGCAAAACGTTACTTGAAGGCAAATATATGTGAAAGAGATCTGAGAACCATTGCCGAGGAGAGGACCAGTAGAAAGAAGAAGCCAAAGGGGAGCTATGGTCACAGAGGGGGCCACACTTGCTCCCACTCTGCCACCACCTGGGGCTCTGCCCTCCTGCTGCAGCCATGCAACTCCCAGGATTAAATTTTCTGTGAGATTTTCTCTGCATCCAAGCAAGCATCGCTACACACCTTTTCTTCCCTCGAACTCCGTATTCAGAATCATACAGTATCTCATCTTCAGCACTTAACATTTAAGAGTGTCCAGGCCAGCCATGGTGACTCACACCTGTAACCCCAGCACTATAGGAGGCCAAGGCAGGAGGATTGCTTGAGACCAGGAGTTTAAGATCAGCCTGGGCAACATGGAAAAACCCCATCTCTACCCAAAATACAAAAATTAGCCAGGCATGGTGGTGCACACCTGTAGTCTCAGCTACTTGAAAGGTGGAAGGAGGAGGATTGCTTAAGACCAGGAGGTTGAGGCTGCGGTAAGCCATGATCATACCACCGCATCCCAGCTAGAGCAATGGGGCAAGACCCTGTCTCAAGAAAAAACGTTTCCAGCACACACTAGCCCTGTCACTGAGGGAAGAGCCGGGGCAAGGATGTCACCCATGTTTCCCATGGTCTTCACACACCTGCTCCACCAGCTCTGCCTGCAAAAGCCTTCCGGGCCCATCTCCAGTGCCCAGTCTTCCATGAAGCTGTCCCTGGTCACCCTTACTGCCAACTCCCTGCCAGAGTAACTTCTCCCTCCTCTGGATCCTAAAGAGAGGTGAAAAGTGCTCAAAATAGAATTATCACTAGTTTTAAAAAGTGGAATAGCTTTTTTTTTTCCTTTTAGACAGGGTCTTGCTCTGTCACCCAGGCTGGAGTGCAGTGGTACGATCTCACCTCACAGTAGACTCCACCTCCTGGGTTCAAGCAATTCTCTTGCCTCAGCCTCCCGAGTAGCTGGGATTACAGATGTGCACGACCACACTCAGATAATTTTTGTATTTTTAGCACAAAAATACAAAAAATGGTTTTGCCATGTTGACCAGGCTGGTCTCAAACTTCTGACCTCAAGTGATCCACCCACCTCAGCCTCCCAAAGTGCTGGGATTGCAGGTATAAGCCACCATGCCCAGCCAAAAAGGAATATCTTAAGATCCCCATATATTGGTACATTTGAAGATTTAAAAAGTGTGTCTATGTTTGCATGGAACAGGAGGGACTGCACGGCAGACAAAGACCCCTTCATCCTGCCCCAAATAAAGAATTCTATGACCAAGACAAAAGATTTGGAGCTAAGCATTAGCCTCAGCAATGAGAATTGAGAATCCAGGAGGATTCCACTTGTGAAGGGGTTAACGAAAAACTCTGAAATAAACCAAAAGGCCTGAGCAGAGGTTAAGAGAACAGGGCTTTTGAGTCACATAGTCCTGGGTGTGAACTCCAGCATCTGTCTTCCTCCATTCGTGCTCCTGAATTACTTTCAACTTCAGTTTTCTCATCTGCAAAATGGGACAAATGATAGTGCTAGTGGAGTAATTACATGAGGGAATGCATCCGGAGTACTTAGTGTGGTGCCTGGCCCACAATGATCAAAGTCTTTTGGCCACCATCAACTGCATCATGAAAGATATTAATATGTTCTGTTTGTCTGTAATGGTCAAAGTCAATTGCAGTGAACAAATCCCAGGACACTGGCCTGGGCCTTGCTTTCTGGCTGTGAGGCCCAAGACTCAGGCCAGCAAGGCCTTGTCTCTGCGTGAATGTTTTAATTTTTTTTTTTTTTGAGATGGGAGTCTCACTCTGTCGCCCAGGCTGGAGTGCAGTGGCGCGATCTTGGCTCACTACAACCTCAACCTCCCAGGTTCAAGCAAGCCTCCTACCTCGGCCTCCCTAGTAGCTGGGATTACAGGTACCCACCACCACACCTGGCTAATTTTTACATTTTTATAGAGAGTTTTTCACCATGTTGCCCAGGGTGGTCTTGAACTCCTAAGCTCAAGCGATCCACATGCCACGGCCTCCCAAAGTTCTGGGATTACAGGCGTGAGCCACTGCAGCTGGCCTCATTCTCCCTTTTTGATGCCAACTCACTTTTGTGTGCCCAGATAAATTTAATTACTCTATCAACTGGCTTTTTCTTTACATTTACGCAGAATCAAAAAATACTATTAGTGAATATTTGTTCATCAATAGAATTATCTTCCTTTAGCCAGAGTCAAGATAAACACTCTATAATTATCAATGACTTTTAGAAAGATATTCAACAATATTTAAATTCATCAGTTCATTTTGAACATCTCCAGTATCTGATCACGAGAAAGATTGATCATATTTTAACTGCTTTATAAGTCTCACAGAAAAATTTAGTATAGTACACCTTTTCAAATATGTAAAAACAAACTCCCTCCCGACTCTCATAAGTTACAAACTCACATACTATAAAAGAGACAGCTTTAGGAGAAAATTGACCATGCTGCTTACATTAAGAATGAAAATAATGGCACTCATTTCTTTTTAAGAATTATAACTAGGCCAGGCGCAGGGGCTCACACCTGTAATCCCAACATTTTGGAAGGCGGGGACAGGTGGATCACTTGAGGTCAGGAGTTCAAGACCAGCCTGGCCAACATGGCAAAACCCCATCTCCACTAAAAATACAAAAATTAGCCAGGCATGGTGGTGTGTGCCTGTAATCCAGCTACTCAGGAGGTTGAGGCACAAGGATCGCTTGAACCCTGGAGTCAGAGGCTGCAGTGAGCCAAGATTGCACCACTGCACTCCATCCTGGGCAAAAAAAGAAAAAGAAAAAGACATGTCACTAGAGGTGTGATGTGATTTGGCTGTGTATCCCTGCCCACATCTCATATGGAATTGTAATCTTTGATGTTGGGGGAGGGGCCTGGTGGGAGGCGATTGGATCATGAGGGTGGACTTTGTCCTTGCTGATCTCATGACAGTGAGTGAGTTCTCAGGAGATCTGGTTGTTTAAATGTGTGCAGTGCTTCCCCTCTCCTTCTTCGCTATGTGAAGATGTGCCTGCTTCCCCTTTGCCTTCTGCCATGATTGTAAGTTTCCTGAGGCCCTCCCAGCCATGCTTCTTGTACAGCCTGTGGAATTGAGTCAGTGAAATCTCTTTTGTTCATTGGTTACTCAGTCTCAGGTAATTCCTTATAGCAATGCAAGAACAACTTAACACAATGGGGGGAACACATTTTTGAACAACAATACATTAAGCAGCATCTCATTATTCAATTGCGATGAAATCCTTGTAAATCAGAAAGCTCTTTAACAAGCTGAAAAATAAGGTACTTCCCACACAAACAGGAAACTAAAAACAGATCTTCAAACAAGGCTTTTTTAGTCACCTGGACACCAATTAGTAACACACTGCTTAATTTACACAAAAGCTGAGTTTAGGGAGGACAGCTATATCTTCCTTAGCATTACGTTTTTTGATACTTTGGAAAAATGGGAATTTTTACATCTCTTTGGACAACTGGCTATGGGGATGGCAAATGGTGCCCTAGATGTGAGCTTGCTCTGTCCTCTCCCTGAGACGAAGGGAGTAACTGTGTCAGACTCAAGCCCACAGGGAGGCCCAAGCAGGGGTTCTCGGTCAGGCGTGGGTTATCCAGACGGGACTCATCCAAGCAAGCTCAGGGGTCAAGGCTGGATCCAAAAGTCTTCTCACGGTTAGTACAATCTTTTTGACAGGTTTTTGTCTTTCAGTGGGCACCACTAGAGACAGAAGTTTAAAAGGTCTTGTACAACGTGGGTTTTTTTTTTCTTCTGTCCTACATTTTCCTCTCTTAAATATTCATTTATTTATTTATTTGAGACCGGGTCTCACTCTGTCACCCAACCTGCAGTGCCACAGCACAATCACAGCTCACTGCAGCCTCAACTTCCCAGACGCCAGCTATCCTCCCACCTCAGCCTCCCAAGTAGCTGGGACCACAGGCCTGCACCACCACACCCAGCTAATTTGTGTATTTTTAGTACAGACAGGGTTTCACCATGTTGGCCAAGCTGGTCTCGAACTCCTGGTCTCAAGTGATCCACCTGCCTTAGCCTCCCAAAGTGCTGGGAATGCAGGTATGAGCCACTGCATCTGGTGGCCTCTCTTAAATATTAATTTGCTATATTCAAGGAACATGAATTTGGCACCACAGGTTTGGAAACCCTGATCAGATGTCCTTGCAGCTTTGCCTTGTCTGTTCCTGGCCTGCCAGGCAAGCTGTCCTCCCTCAGTATCTGCAAAATGCAAGTCACTCCCCAGCTAGTGCTCTCAGCTTGGTCCTCAATGGCACACTAGCCTAGGCCAACTGATAACAGCCAGACCTGCATTCCTTTGGGGGACTAGCATCACTCAGAACCCACTTGGGAGAGTTCAGGTGACCCCCTCTTGCCCACACATTCTTGGCCTTCTCTACAACCCAGTGAAACCAGCCTGAAATCTCACACCTGTGAAGGGCTTGGTGTCCCTTTCAAGCCTAGACCTCCAGATTATGGATAAAGATGCCCCAAGAAGGGCGACTCTCCTGTATGTAGTTCCAAAGAACCTAACATCAGTAAGGCTCCATCCAGGTCATTCATCTCTATCCTGACGTTTCTTTCAGCCTTCTTTGCACACATGCCAATACAACGTTCCCCACTCACAATAGAACTAGTTTTTAAAAAGCATCCCCCATGTGAAATGTTGTCAATGTCCCCACCGTTAGCCCTGCAGATGGTTATGACACTTAGGGACATCACTGGGTCTGATTTTTTCTTTTCCTCAATCACTCAATCCCTCTTTTTTTTTTTTTTTTCCAATGCTTTTTATGCATTGGGAACTGTATTTTATTTTATTTTATTTTATTTTATTTTATTTTATTTTATTTTGAGACAGGGTCTTGCTCTGACATCTAGGCCGGAGTTCAGTGGCACAATCTCAGCTCACTGCAGCCTCAACCTCCCAGGCTCAAGCAATTCTCCCACCTCAGCCTCCTGAGTAACTGGGACCACAAGCATACACCACAGTGCCCAGGTAATTTTTTTGTATTTGCAGAGAAGGAGTCTCATTATGTTTCCCAGACTGGTCTCCATCTCCTGACCTTACGTGATCTGCCTGCCTTGGCCTGCCAAAGTGCTGGGATTACAGGAGTGTGCCACTGCACCCAGCCTCTTCTATGCTTTATTTAATTAATTTTTTAAACTTAAAAATATTAACATTATTCCACATTTGTTTCAGGGTTATATTTTGTTTTTGTTGTATAAGAAATAAAACATTACCACCAGAGGTGAAGACCCCATTTCTTTCCTCTGTCCCAATGCTTATCCCCTAGAGGTAACTGGAAGTTGGTGTGCGTCCTTTCCATAAAGATGTTGTTATATCTTTAAAGCCTCTGCATGCATCTTAAAAGAAGTTTTAGTATTGTTTTTTCCTTAGTTTTAAACTTTGGGCCGGGCAAAGTGGCTCACACCTGTAATCCCAGCACTTTGGGAGGCCGAGGTGGATGGATTGCTTGAGCTCAGGAGTTCAAGACCAACCTGGCCAATGTGGTAAAACCCTGTCTCTACAAAAGTACAAAAAGTTAGCTGGGCATGGTAGCATGTGCCTGTGGTCCCAACTACTCAGGAGGCTGAGGCAGGAGGATTGCCTGAGCTTGGGAGGCAGAGGTTGCAGTAAGCCAAGGTCATACCACTGCACTCCAGCCTGAGCAACAGAGCAAGACCCTGTCTCAAAAAAAAAAACCCCACAACTTTGCATTATGTCATACTGTACA